CTTACATAAAGTTTAAAAAAAGCTAAAAATGAATCATTACAACTTTGGTATTGAAAATGTAGCTGCCTTATAAAATTTTAATGGGTAGGAGGCTTAGATCACATTTGGCAAAGACCATTTAAAAAAAATCAAGTAACTATATTAATATTGAAATAATTTGTTTACATTTGTCTTTAAAGTCACATATACTTTGAAGAAAAATATTTAGTACATACAGTATATTTCAATACTGCCCAGCTCCAAAATTCCTATTTTCATTTTTACTTACAAAAAAGGTTTAAAGAGAAAAAAAAATACAATTTAGTTATTCTGAAAACAAAAATGAAGAAAAAATGAAAATTCTTCATTTCATTGTCTCTGCATCTGTGAAGATAACTGCTCCTGCAGCTCCTTTGAGACTCTCTCTAAGTGGTTAGTTATCTTTTTTATTAGGTCACTATACATCTGTTCCGAATGCTGCTGGCACACACATTTATACACACAACTGCAGAAATAAATACAGGAACAATGATAAATTGACAATATTAAGCCTGTAGAAATTTATTTTAAATACACGTAGTGCTCGAGTTACGACCACACGGAGCCCAGAATTTATGTTGCTAAGTGAAAACATTTGTTAAGTGAGTTTGCCCCATTTTACGACATTTCTTGCCACAGTTGTTAAAGTTAGTAACACGGTTGTTAAATTAATCTAGATTCCCCACTAACTTTGTTTGTCAGAAGGTCGCAAAAGGAGATTACATGACCTTGGGACACTGCAACCATCATAAATATAAGCCAGCTGCCAAGCATCTGAATTTTGACCATGGTGCTGCTGCAACGGTTGTAAGTGTGAAAAATTGTCATAAGTCACTTTTTCATATTGTTGTAACTTTGAACGGTCACTAAATGAACTATTAGAAGTCGAGGACTCCGTGTATATGATTTTAAATATACATTTATAACATTCTAAACATATTAATTTAAAGGTTTGTGGAAGCAGATCTGTATTTGTCACAGAGAATTCCACAAGATCTAAAAGCTCAAGGCTATCTCACATATAATGATTCCATTTTTAAAGTCCAGCAATATCTTATTTCTAAGGTGATTGTTTAGTTAACACATCATATTATTAAGATATGTTTTAAACAAACATGCCGTTTCATTCTGTTATTGATGCTTTTTTTGAAATGTTGTATTTTAAGCATTCATTTTATTCATAATAATACAACACTCTAAATATTTCTTTTCAGGGACAGAACAGAATTTTAAAAAGAAACCCTCTTCAATATTTCATTAAAGGTAAAGGTTCACCTCGCACATATGTGTTAGCCGTTCCCAACTCTAGGGGGCAGTGCTCATCTCCCTTTCAAAGCCAAAGAGCCAGCGCTGTTCGAAGACGTCCCCATGGTCATGTGACCAGCATGACTAAATGCCAAAGGCACACGGAACACTGTTACCCTCTCATCAAAATGGTGGTCCCCATTTTTCTACTTGCATTTTTACATGCTTTCGAACTGCTAAGTTGGCAGAAGCTGGGACAAGTAATGGGAGCTCACTCCATTACACGGCGCTAGGGATTTAAACAGCCAAAGTGCCAACCTTTCTGATCAACAAGCTCAGCGCCTTAGCCACTGAGCCAATGTGTCCCTCCAATATTTCATTACAAGGCCTGAATTTCAGCTTATTTAGCCACCTTTTCAGGCCACTGAAATCAACAGGACTAGTCACATAACTAACTTCAATTGCTTTCAATGTGGCTAAATATTATTAATAGTGTCTGAACTTAGCATTTTATCCCTCGCATTTAATATTTCTAAGAATACAACTCTAAACCATACAACTATGTATTATTATAAAGTTCTGGAGGCAAACTCTAGAACAAGCCTGTCAAACTTGTGGACTGCAGGCCGGATGGATGCATCACCCGCTGGCCATGCCCACGCCCAGTTTAGCGAAGGGGAAAAAGGTCCCGATACGTCACATGACGCTGCCGTGACAATGTGAGTTTGACACCCCTGCTCTACAACTACAATACACTGTTGCCTTACTTCTATCTCCTAAGTACACCAAATAGAAATAGTTCTGTTTTGAACACTGGTTTCTATGACATAAACATCTCACTCCACCTGAATTAAGAATTGGTCAAAATGTCATTAAAATCACAGTTAAAAACAGGATCTCTGTCTTGAAGAAGGAAGTATTACAGATGACAACTCTTTGATTAGAATCAAAGCACATACATGTATCTTCACATTAATAGAGAACCTATACAGTCTCCTTTATCGATACGTTAAGTTTTTCACTTGATTAGTGAAACTCCAGGCTTGTTTTCAGTTGCCGTTTGAAAACATAAAGTGAGTCTAGCGCATTTCATTTTACGAAGAAATGCAAACATTTTCTTTTATGTGACTTTGCTTTTCTAAATAGAAACAAGTAAATTCCTAAAAATGAAAGATGTTAACCGTGTACATTTAGTTTCATTCAGTTTAAGTAGCCAAAGCCCAAATACTTAGAAATTTAATGCCAGAATTACCACTGTACTTTTAAATATTATACACTTTACTAAAAGTTTTCATTAGCACCTTGCAAGCAATTGAAATAATGCAAGCTTGAAATAATCTGTTATTGCAGAACCAATATTTTTGTTATTTGTATTCCCTTACCTGTATATTTGTTCATAGGAAATGGGAATATAGTCACCAAGACTCTGAGTTAAAAGCTGATCTATGGCACTGTCCAACTTTGGCCAATATGTGCTCTTATAATCTTCTATTGTTATAACATTCATTACTAGAAGAGAAAGTATACTGTAATTGATAAAAAGAATGCAGTCAGCATAATTATCAACAAATACAAAACTTAAATGCAAAGCTGAAACTATATACGAGATAAGCGTATTTCCACATTATCATAGAATAATACAGTGTGGTGGCTCAGGTGGCTAGAACCCTGGGTTGGAGATTAGCAAGCCTGCGTTCGAGACCCGGGTTCTGCTATGTGGTGGGGCAAGTTCCTGCCATTTGCTCCAGGTCATTGATGGAGACATGAAACTTGTCATGCCGAGCAACAGTGATGTCACCAGTTAATCCTGTCAACCCAGAAGCGCCTTAAATGGTACCTCTGACATGAGTGGGATGGGGATTGAATAATAGGGCTGGAAGGGACATTGGAGTTTTCTAGACCAAGCCCCTGATCAAGGCAGGAATCCTTATTCTATATTGTTCAGTCTTTTCTTGAAAACCTCCAGCAATGAAGCAACTTCAATTCTGGGANAACAAGTATACTTGTTCTTGGATGTGATACTTTTATACCACAGAAAGACTTATGTTGGAATCTTACCAAATGAAAGGCTTGAATTGTCCATAGTTCTTTGTAGATCAGACAAACTGAGATAAGCCACTGCTCACGCTGGAAAGTCATGCATGACATTATCTTTTATTCATGAATGAGGTAAACTGCCATATCTTGTTCATAAAAATGTACAATGTTCCACATTAAAGACTCGCTCCAACTGGAGCTTCCCCAAGCACTAACACTTCAACATGGCCTGGTTTTGTTACCTCACTGTGGCAAACTCATCCTTATCCCCCTTTTACTCTCAAGAAAAGACTAACTTTTGCGTATAAAAAATTACATTTTGTGGAGAAGGAGCTGGAGGACTACTTCAGCTTCATCACAGAGAGCCAAGGGAACAAACAAAACCTCCCAGCACCTTGGGATTAGCCTTTTGTTCAAGACCAGAAACAGAAAGCAGGGATCCAGAGTTATCCCTTCTGAGGTACATATTGCCATCATACCCATAATGCAGTGCAAAGTGCTGCTGCAGATAAAACATTTGTTCAAGCTTTAACAGTTGAAATAAAAAAAAAAGAGTATGTACAAATCAAATATGCAGTTCTCTCCAGTTGCCTCCTGAAATGGTACAAGCTACAAGTGTGTAACATTGATTTCAAGTAGCTTGTTATTCAGAGGTAAGCACCATTTCAGTCGTATTTGAAAATCTACGATACCATCCCAATTATCATTCAGAGAACTGATTTGATTAAAATCAGTACCAACATTTCTCTGTTGCCACTAGGCAGCACAGAGGGTATGGGCATACAACCTGGTTCACAATCTCTTGCCAAATCTTCAGCCGTTATATACTAGCATTTCAATTCTGAATAGAAATCACATGTTGAAAAGCATTCCCCCCCCCCCAAATTCTTTACAATCATTACCAAAGCCAACAACATAATACAATAAACATTTGACTTGCCAACAGTGTGGAAGGGAACTGAGTTAAAATGCATCTTAATGTTTATTTTCCTAAATGTAACCAAAGAAGGTAAGAAAATCTGGCAACTTTGCAGCATGTTTAATCAAATCACAGTTTTAAGATACATTTTGTGGTCTGTACTATTGAGGGGTTAAGCAGATGAATTATCTGGAATGGGAAGAGTCAGGCCTATGACTGGCCTTCAAAGACAAACCTTGGTGTTTTTTTCCCCAAGATGGAAATACTGTTTAAATGTTCACTATTTACCGACCAAACATTCTGAACAAAATCTAACGGGCACAGATTTCCAACAGCAATAGTCACATATCAGAAAGTGCAAAAAAAAAAACAAAAACCTATCAAAAACAGAGAACAAAACAAAAAACACCACTCTAAAATCCTTTCAGAGGAAGTTGCTCTTCTTGGCTATCAACTTTTAGCATTTAATGATCTTTTATAAACTAAATCTCAAAAAGATACAGTCGTCACGAGAATCATTAAAAAAAAAAAAACCTATCAAAAACAGAGAACAAAACAAAAAACACCACTCTAAAATCCTTTCAGAGGAAGTTGCTCTTCTTGGCTATCAACTTTTAGCATTTAATGATCTTTTATAAACCAAATCTCAAAAAGATACAGTCGTCACGAGAATCATTAAAAAAAAAAAAACCCACCTCTTTTCAAGATTGATCACATTGTTCCAAAGTAGCCCAAAATAGCAGCAAACAGACATTTTATTACATGGCAAGAAATAAGTCCAAACACCTCTTCTAGGTATAGTTGCATCGAAGAACCTGAGTATCAGAACAACCTGACTGAGTCTCAGGCTACCCTCCCTTCCAATGCCATTCCAAAGCCCACTCCGATTGGACAGGTTTCTAGTAGAGTTACTATCTGCATCCTCTTGAGCTCGCGCATGA